TTCGTGGCCTCAGGAACCGCAGTGACAACGCCTGATGCTTCATGGCCAAGGACGAGTGGCGACTTCACAACAAAATTTCCGTTGCGCCCCAAGTTGTAGTAGTGTAAGTCTGAACCGCAGATGCCTGTTGCCTTGACTGCTATTTGGACATCGCCGTGTTGCAGCACAGGCGGTGGTCTCGTCTCCTTAACGAGCACAGTTATGTCAGTTTCGCACTTTGCAAGAGTGACGGGGTTACTTACCAGCCTCAAGTCCTTTGCACCATGTAAAACCAAGGCCTGGACAGTTTCTGTAGATGCCATTTTCATCTGAATCGAAATTTGCCTGGTTCTGCTCTGGGACGAACAGACGGTTGCTGGTCTGGAGGATTATCGAACCTTTATATGAAACAAGATATCTGCTTCGATCACATTAACAGTAAAGCACTCAGTGAAGAGACGGGTTTAGCTGTACCAGTCAAATCTGTAGGGGAGATGACTACAGCGTTCTTAAGAGTGATCCCGCAAAGGCGCCATAGCATCCACGAGGAACTGCTGTGCACAGTTTTCTGAAAGGCGTGATGGAACGGGATTTTCTCCGACGCTGGATCAAGTCTATTCGAGTAATCTTCGGCGATTGTCGAGGGAGACTCCGACCCTGAACCATTATGGCCCCCAGCATGCCGCAGTTTGGTGCATTGGGAAGAAGTCAAGAGGATGGGTGTGGGGGTGCATTACACGAAGCGGCAATTGAAATGCGGGGTGACAACGGCGACACCACGAGGGGGTTTGGTCGTTGGAATTGCGATGTTCGCAGTTTCAAAAGCCGACGGAATGCCCACCATCCCTTTCGCTTCACCCAGTGACGCTGAGGGAAATATATCTCCAATCAATTTTTATGGGTTTTGGGATTTGGTCATGTTTGCCCTGTCCTCCTGCTTTCGACAAAACGCTCTGCCAACGCGTGTTTCTCTGACCCGCGTATTCCCTCAGCGACCATCCCTCAACAAGTCTCTTACAATCATGTCGAAACCTACCGTTCTCCTGATCGGAGGATTGGCGCACATAAATAAAGAGTGGGAAGGCTTGGGATCTAAATACAATCTGAAAGAGTTCCGAAAAGGCACACGCGAGCAATTCCTCTCCAACTGCAAGGCCGGCCAGTACGACGACGTAGTGGCGCTCTATCGGTCCAACCAGTCCACCTCAGAAACAGGTCTCTTCGATCAAGAGCTGGTCTCTGTCCTGCCCCGGTCTCTGCGATACATCTGCCACAACGGGGCCGGATATGACAATATTGATGTGGACGCTTGTACCCAAAGGGGACTTCGGATATCCAGCACCCCGATTGCAGTTGATGACGCCACGGCTGATGTTGGCATCTTCCTTATGCTGGGCGCTCTGAGGCTGGCATGGGTACCTTTGGTGGCGATCAGAGAAGGCCAATGGCGGGGGAAGGCCCAACTCGGACACGACCCAAAGGGCAAAGTGCTCGGTATCTTGGGAATGGGCGGCATTGGTAGAGTAAGCGACCTAGCATCGCCGGTGTGGATTGTACAACTGACTGAAAGCAGGCAATGGCTCACCGAGCACGAGCATTTGGGATGAAGATTGCCTACCACAACCGAACGCGCCTGCCGAAAGAACTCGAGGGCGATGCGACGTACCTCAGCTTCGACCAATTACTTGCGCAGTCCGACGTTCTCAGCCTTAATCTCTCTCTCAACGCCAAGACGCGACATATAATATCTGCGCCGGAATTCGCAAAAATGAAGGACGGAGTGGTGATAGTCAACACGGCTCGAGGAGCCCTGATCAACGAGAAAGACCTGGTGGCAGCGCTCGAGAGCGGGAAAGTGTTTTCAGCGGGGTTAGATGTGTTTGAAGAGGAGCCCAAGGTGGAAGAAAGGTTGTTGAAGAATGAGAGGGTCTTCATTGTGCCACATATTGGCACCAGCACCTACGAGACACAGCGGGAGATGGAGTTGTTGGTGTTGCGGAACCTGGAGAATGCGGTGGATCAAGGGTCTCTGTTGACACCTATTGCGGAGCAGAAAGGAAAGCTGAACGGGCATTTATGATGGAAATGAACAAGGATCTAGGATAGACATAGATGATAAAAGGTGCGGGCAGGTAGACTTGGGACGATGAATTAGGATATAGAGCGTGCCGAGTAATTACTTCAAAGGGCGGCCCGCAACTCGCTAAGCTGTGCAAGCGGAGTGACCTCGGCATTGCTTTCACATGCGCTGTAATCGTCATGTCCGGACTTTCAAAGCATCCCGCTGGCACTCCCACCACTCTCTTGGCCGTCCAACTTGCGTCAGTCGACAGCACATGCCTCTACCGTCATCGTTCGCCGAAGCAAGATCTAAATAGATCATGCTGCGCATCTATCCAACCTTTTCGCTGGACATTATGTGGTAGCTGAGCATGATGCTTCGTCGTCCCTCCCCATGAACACATCGGCTTCCGCTCTCCTCTCCCTCTCGTTCGAAATGCCTGTTCAATCCAAAGAGGACCCATTAATGGTCCTGTACAATCATTACCTCACCCTCTTTCGCGCCCACGTCCGCCGCATACCTAGATCTGTCAAACTCGCCGCCACCGCCGCCCTCGTTCTATCCATCCTCTCCTCTAGCTATGGCGGTTACAAGTGGTGGCAGGCTCATTCAAAAGAGAAGGCCCAGGGCCGGACGCTGGTCCGCAAGAATAGTGGCTTAAGAGGGAAAGGAGGAGAACGCATCATCTATGTTCCCAAGGGCGATACCACCTCCAAAGTCATCATCCATCCCACACGCTCCACGACATTCGATGCCCATCGCAGACTGTTTCTGACACCTCCACGCGTCACTCGTCTGACCAGCGGTACTTCGACTCCGGCCTATGGCCCTCCTCCTCCGCAGACAAAACCCGGCCTCAACCTGGCCTTCCTCCATCAATTCCTCAGTCTGGCGAACATCATGATCCCGAGGTTTCGAAGCAAGGAGACTGCCTTACTACTGAGCCATGCCGTCTTCCTGATCTTGAGAACATACCTCTCTCTTCTTGTCGCGAGGTTGGACGGTGCAATAGTACGAGACCTCGTCGGCGGTCATGGAAAGCAATTTCTGCTCGGGCTTCTGAGATGGCTGTCCATTGGCACACTAGCCTCCTACACCAACTCGATGATCAAATTCCTCCAGTCCAAAATATCAATCGCCTTCCGCACGCGGCTGACGAGGTACATCCACGACCTCTACTTGAACTCGAACCTCACTTACTATAAACTCACAAATCTAGACGGTGGAGTCGAAGGCGCGGATCAATTCATCACACAAGATCTTACATTATTTTGCACAGCGGCGGCATCATTGTATTCTTCTCTAGGCAAACCTCTAGTTGATATATTCGTCTTCAACTATCAGCTCTACCGCTCACTCGGTCCCTTGGCTCTGACCGGTCTTCTGGTCAATTACTTTGGCACTGCTACCATGCTTCGGAGGCTGTCTCCACCCTTTGGGAAGTTAAAGGCCGTCGAAGGCAAGAAGGAAGGAGATTTCCGTGGGCTTCATGCGAGATTGATCGCCAATGCTGAAGAGGTTGCCTTTTACGGTGGTGCCGACGTCGAAAAGGTCTACCTCGACAGATCATTCAAAGAACTCCGGAGTTGGATGGAGGGTATTTACAACGTCAAAGTCCGGTATAATATGCTGGAGGACTTTGTTCTGAAGTACTCGTGGTCTGCTTTTGGCTATATTATTACTTCGATTCCTGTTTATCTTCCTGCATGGGCCGGATTGAATACCATTCTCGAAGCTTCTTCCAGCTCAGGCAGAGAGGTCACAGAATCCTCTCGGTCGGGATCGCACATGAAAGAATTCACCACCAACAAGAGACTCATGCTCTCGCTCGCCGACGCAGGTGGTCGGATGATGTACAGCATCAAAGACCTCTCTGAACTGGCCGGCTACACGTCCCGAGTCTACCAACTCATCTCAACCCTTCATCGAGTGCACGCCAACGCCTATGCGCCCATAGGCCGCCGAGCCTCTCAAAGGGTAGAGCTCTACTCCCTCGCGGACGTACAAGGCACAATCCAATACGGCTTTGACGGCGTTCGTCTTGAAGACGTCCCTGTCGTAGCACCAGGCTTGTGGCCCTACGGTGGCGACGAGTTGATCGAATCTCTCTCCTTTGTCGTCCACAGCGGTGAACATCTACTCATATCCGGCTCCAATGGAGTTGGTAAATCCGCCATTGCCCGCATTGTTGGTGGACTTTGGCCCGTTTACCGTGGCTTGGTCTCGCGACCTCGAAACAACGGCATGGATGGAATCATGTTCCTGCCACAACGACCCTACCTCAGCATTGGCACGCTAAGAGATCAAGTCATCTACCCGCACACGGAGATGGATATGCGAGAGAACAATCGACGGGACAGTGAACTAGAGCGAATCCTCGAGGAAGCCAAACTTGGCCACTTACTAGCGAGAGAGGGTGGTTGGGACACGCGCAAGGAGTGGAAAGACGTGCTCTCGGGCGGCGAGAAACAACGGATGGCCATTGCTCGCCTGTTCTACCACGAACCCAAATACGCATTTCTCGACGAAGGGACTTCTGCGGTATCCTCGGATGTTGAGGGCTTGCTGTACGAGCGGTGCAAAGAGAAGGGGATCACGATCATAACTCTATCCACGCGTGCCAGTCTCCGAAAATACCACACATTCAACCTCCTCCTGGGACTGGGCGAGGAAGGGTTTGATTGGGAACTGGTCCGAATAGGCACGGACGAGGAGAAGTTGGGAGTGGAAAAGGAGATCGCGGAATTGAAGGAGAAACTGGCGATGGTGGATACATGGGAGAAGAGGAGAAAAGAGATTCAGGATGAGCTGAACCAGGTCTTTGTCGTCGGGGACGGCAAGGACACTGAGCAAAAGGGGAAGTTGGAACGTCCGGGGTATATCGGAGACGAGGCCGAATCGCGGCAGGAGACTTCATGACAGCTGTATGTCCCGTCTAGACCCGTTATGCAAAAAGGGGCTATACTACCGGCAGATCCGGATTCGGCCCGTCACCACTCCAAGCATTCAAGTTCCTTATTACCAGCCAGTTGAGCTTGCGCATGCTCTTCTCTTCTGTGTCGTCACTCATCCGATCCTTTTCAACTTCTCTCATATCTTTTTGGAAATCCTTCTCCTCCTTCCTCCTTTCCCTATCATACCTGTCCAACACTCTCTGCCTGTCTCTCTCCAGCTTGGCGACGTCCCTCGACTTCTGCTTCCGCGTGGCGTCGGCCAATTTGTCGTCGATTTCGCGCAAGTGCTTCTCGACGTCCTTGTTGAGTTTTGCCATCTCCCTGTCAAACTCCATCTGGGCCTTGGCGGCTTCCTTCCTGTACTCGTTTTGGAGTTTGTTTCGCTTAGCGACGAGTTTCTTCTCCCCGTTCCGCCTGTCCATCTCGCTCATTTTGACAGTTAGCTGCGAAAGTGCGTTGGTGGGCACGTCGATCAGCGGGAGAGGTGTCACTTCCAGCTCGGCGATCCAGGGCCTCATGGCGTCCAGCCTGCGCTGCTGGCCGCTGACGTTGTCGTCGTATTGTGCAGGAGAACCTGCGTCTGCTTCCGCGACGCCTTCCAGGGGCAATAAGAGCCTCGCGTTCTTGTTGAGCTTGCCCCTGTCGTCGAAGACGCCGTCCATCCCGACCAGTTTTGCGAGTGCTTCGGTCTTTGCGATCTCGACTTTCAGCCCCCGGGGGTTGAAGATGTCGGTGTTTGCGCGCCTCAACTCGATCTCGGTGCGTCCGCGCTGCACCACCCCCGCAGAGATCTCGGCAGTGAGATTCACGGCCGCCCCGACGATCTGGGCGGTCGGCTCCGGCACGAAGCCGACCATGTTCCCGGCCAGGCTGAGGGCCTGCAAGGGTGGCGACTTCACGGCCACGCGGTTCAAGGTGTCCAAAAAGGAGAGAAATAACGTGGGCGAGATGTGGTATTCGGCCAGACAGGGGGGGTAGGCGCGCAGGAACGGCGAGCCGTAGCGCGCGAGGGTTGCGGGGATGGCGATTGGTTTGGCGACGCGGGATCGTGACTGTGACTGTGACTGTGATTGGGATGAAGCTGGGGAGAGACGGGATGATGGAAGCGGTTGGGCATGGGCATGGGGATAGGGATAGGGATAGGGATAGGCATATGCTCCTACTTCGGCAGCCTTGGAATTGGACTTGATGGATTCGTCGATGGCTTCAGAGTATGTTGGCGGTGAGTTAGGGTTCTGGTGTTGGGTTCGGGTTTGGGTCATTGTCATTGTCATTCGTGCGGCCTCGGCGTGGCCGTGACTGTCGCCGTATGCTCCAAATTGTTGTTGCGGTTGTTGTTGACCTTGACCCTGTTGCGTGACCAAGGCATTGTAGTCGTAGTTGTAGTAGTATGGTGTTTGACTTTTGCTATCTCCTATTGACTTGCACATGACCGGCCGGTTTAGGATGAGATGTTTGTTTATTGCTTTGATGGAGATGTATTCTGTATCTGTGCCTGTACCTGTGCCTCCTACCCCAAGACTGGCCCACGGGTGTACCAGCATATTTATATATATATCTATGTCTGTCTGTCTGTGTGTGTGTTATTCCTTACTATGCGTCTCGATCTGATTTCCCAATTCGTCCCTTTCCGCGATTCGTCACAGCCGAATTGCGCAGTGGAGCACGACCGAGTATTCCGCGGGACACGACTCGCTGGTAAGAGGATTAAACAACTACAAGCACCGCATGAGGGTAACGAACTACTAAGCGACGAGCGAGTACCTACGAAATAACGAAGTGCTGCGGAGCGACTATTATCTGGTTGGTGCCCTGAAAGGTCCACCGTACACCACACCTAGATAAGTCATGTCCTTAGGTGCTAGTCCGAGGACCCCAGCCTGAACCTTGATTGACGTAGCAGGCTGGCTATGGCTAGTTCGTTGCTCAGCCTCACTGCCGCCTTCAGTCTCGCTGAATCCTCCCTCATACTTATCTCGCACCACTGACGAGGGCGCACCGCCTACTTACCATGTTACATCCACATACGTACAAAATAGCTTTCTGACTTTCTGACATGTCTGTCTGTCTGTCGATGATCAGTCCGCTCCTTGTTTTCCTTTCAGGCCCCCCACCTACCAACCCATCACCCGCTAATCGTGCTATCACTAATTGGGCATTTCGTGGAATATGCCGCTTCCGGAAGGGATCTGTTGATGTGATTGGTCGAACATGGCGTGGCTGGACAGGACATAGATACAGGGTCCCAAATCGCTGGGGCCAGGGACAATACCTAGATCCTATGTAGATTGATAGAAACCTATGGGGGCAGGCATGCACTCATGCATGGCGCCCTCTTGGGACAACCACCGCTGTCATCTGTAGTCTGTCGTCATGTACTCGGTACCCTAGGTAGGACGTGATTTGCTGCGCTTGGTAGGTGCCAACCACCACCGCCGATCATCTCTCAGTCTTCCTCCTCGTCCTTCTCAGTCGACAATTTCAAAGCGATGTCTCTCCTGCTCATCAACCGCAAGAGTCTTGAGCGTCCACGACCACAGCTCTTCCTGCTTCGCCTCGTCATAACTATCCACGCTCGACTTGATCTGCTTCCTCCCCTCGAAATACACGCCGCTCGTGCCCTTCACTGCGTCGTCGAGAGCCACCCATGCCAAAGAGGCACCTGACTCCTCTGTCCGGTGGATGTTCGGCGACAGGACGCGGCGCAGTAGCGGGATCAGCGCGGGGAGGACACGCTTCCATATGAAGCGCAGGAACGCCGGATACTGTCTGGCAAGGCCGGTGCCGGGCATGAGGCCCGGGTCGAAGGCGACCACAGTCCATTTCTTTTGGTGAAGTTTTCTCAGGCGGCGGTCGAGGGCATATGTCCAGAGGATGTTGCACAGCTTGCTAGTTGTGTAGCGTTGGCGCCCTGGGATTTTGAGCGCGTCCCCGGAAGGGTGCGCCAGGTCTTCGGCACTCGTGTACTTTGCATTGGGCATGCCTGTCTTCTGCATCGGGTCGTGCGTGCCGCTGGCCGTGACAACGATGCGCGCCTCGTTCGCCAGATACGGCTGCAGGAGGGAGAACAGCAGCGCGTGGCCGACGTGGTTGATGCCGAAGCTCGCCTCGAACCCATCCGCCGTGTACTTGATGTCAAAGGGGAATTGGATGCCCGCGTTCAGCAGGAGGACCGAGATCGGTGGCAGGCTTTTCTCGCCCCAGCTCTGGACAAACGATCGGACGTTCTTCGCGTCTCCCAGATCTAGAGGCATGAATCGCACATTGTCTCTGCCGACGGTCCGATTGATAGATTCCGCACTCCCATCGGCGTCCTTGCGCGATGCTATGACGATGCAGTGGTCTGGCCGTTGGCGAGCGATCGCTGCTGCGGCGTGGAAACCCAGGCCCGTCGTGCCTCCGGTTACGATGACGGAGCGGGTGAAGTTGGACATGGCTACATATAATCTTTTGACGATGGCTTCCCTTTTTTTGGTTTCTTGTCAGCGAGCTTGCCAGACGGAAAGTGTGGAAGACTGTAGAGATCCTCTGGACTCGAATGGATAGGGTGTACAGAGTATATGTGCCCTGAAGAGTTAACCACCAAACTCGGGGTTCGGAGGGTCTATCGCTCCATCTCGAGCAATCTCCGCAGCAATCCCACGAATGAAATCGCGACCCCTCTAACCCTCGACCTTTCATCATCCGGGCACCGTAATCGTTTTTCTAAAGCCACATGCTAAGTCGTTGAGATGTGATGGGCCACGGCTATAGCGTTCTGGGATGAAATGGAAAGAGAGAGGAATTAGAAGTAGTAGGACTCAGTATTGGGAACCGCCATCTCGCTGATGCGATTCCGCCTTAGCTGTCCGCCTTGTCAGTCAGCCTTGTCAAATGGTGCCGCGCCACACCCCACGCCACCAGCGCTAGTTGTGTAGCAGTTACTCCTCCGGCACGGGTACCCGCTCGAAATGAACTTTTCCTTGGACCATGGGAGAATGACTGGAAAGTCAAGATTCAAGATGCGCATGAAACGAGGAGAGATTGGGAGACCCCGAGGCAAGCAAACATACCAAGGAAACGCCAGAATCGTTTTCAGAGCAAGAGAACCACTTGTACTGGGTAGACCTATTGTGGTCCAACTGTACCTTTTTATTCCGAAATGGAAAATCCTTTCTCGCGACGAGTGCAGTAAACCATGATAAAAATTATAGCTCCTGCAGTATTTTTTTTTCCCTTTAGTTCTCTTCTAAATGGCTTCCCCATTTCTATGACCTGTACAAGACAAAGGTACAAGCCACCTATCATTCCAAAATAATCGTAAATTCCGGCGTAGAGATGAACGACTTATATAGATAGAATAGTAGCAGACGGGGAATGATTCTGCATACGAAAGTAATAAGTGCGTCCTAATCAACTGTTAGAATTTGTAATTGATGAGAAGTCAGCTCTTAAGCAACCAGCACTACCAGTATACGAACGGATATTTTGGGAGGTTAAAGACAATACAGTCGCTGATACCATAGGTATCGGCAGAGTAGTAAAGCCCGAAACTGGCCTCATACAGTGTGCGCCATGTTGATCTTTTTAGGATACTTATTTCCCGATGATGAGACCCAGTAATCCTGTCTTAACCTCTTCCACTGGTACTGCGCGGCTTTACTTGGTGGTAAGCACTATCTTGCCCCCGTACCCAGATAGAGTGACTACATTCTAGATCTCGGCTGTGGAACTGGGGCATGGGCCGCGAAAGTCGCCGATGACCATCCCAACTGGCTGGTCACCTGCATCGACCTCAGCGCAATACAATCAAAATGGGTTCCACTGAACCTCACTTTCCTGCTCGATGACATAGTGGGTCACTGAACTCCCAACCGTTCGACTTTATGCGCTCACGTCAAACTAGGGGATCTGTTGAACGAAGGTTGAGTTGTGGATCTGTCTGGTTGATTGTGTCCTGTCCCCCTGGCTATTCAGAGAGACTCTGCCTGTTTATATACACATTGGCCTGTAACCATAAGAGCATTCCTGAAACCTCCTATTCCGTCGCCATCCTATCACAGGTCTGCAGGAACAACGAGGTTGAGGCAGTTTGCGCAGTTGGGGAAGCCCCTAGCGTCTCAGATGGTTTGCCCCAGTGGCGCTCTCGCGACCCTGTCAACAGGATCGGTGAAGAATTGACCGGAGTGTATCCAGCAATGCTATGTGTGAGCCTTTCTTGTCTGAGGTTCGAGTTGACGCTCACTCTTTCCGCAGGAATTTGAAAAACTTAGGTCGAGTTGAATTTCAGGAGTTTAAATATAGTCACTAACCTTTGGAGGGCGTAGCGGTAGAAAAAAGCCTCGTCCGTTTAGCAGATACGCTGACAATGAAGACCTTCCGTGTACTAGGTCGCGAACTGTCAGTCGGGGGAAATATTCAAGAGTGGCTCCAAAACGAGGAATTTTTAAATATACGACACCGCGTCTTTAAAGTTCCTCTTAGCTAGTGGCAATATAATACAAGACTGGTAAGTGCACCAGCCAGCCCCTCCTATTCTGGCGATTAAATCAAAACAGAAAGTGATTGGTGGTATGCGTCGTTGCGAATACCAAGAGGGTCTTAAAGGTCTCGTCCTTAGGCCGTTTATATATGGTTTAGGGTGGTCACCTGAAAACATCAGAGAGTTTGTAAAACGGGTTTACGACGAAGCGGATAATCAGAAGTTTCCTTTGTGGTGTTAATTGTAAGTTAAGCCGCTTCAGCATCGATAGTATCCCTCATAACGTCCAGACTTACATAAGCAGCCATATTGTATTCGGTCAGAAGGATTCTTCAAACGTTGAATAATAGAGGATAAAGTAAGTCCAAGAATGGAAATGAGAGGGTGACGCTGTTCCACTATATGTTGTACCATGGTTCGCTTTATCTGTGCGTGATATGTCCGGAATGTGTTATTTGGGGAGGGGTTGCCTTTTGTTTATTCACTGTTTGCACGACCATAGAAGTGAAGAAAGGGAACCTGCAAAATGTCCGCTCATGCTTAGTGCATAGTTAAAAGTTAGCCTAGAGGCTTACGCCCAGAGCCGTTTCCTACTGTAGGTTTAACTACCTTCTGAACAGCAGCCTAAATCGACTCCGGAGCCCGAAACATCCCTTGAACAGGTCTTCGAAGCGCAAAATCAGGCTGCAGTCTCCGTGGCTTCTAGGCTAAAGACACAACTGTCCCTAAATGAGCTAGTCAAACGCTTGACGATAAGTACTGACGGTCCACATCCACAGTCAAAGGATCCGCCTCCGCTTTTCTTCTCTCTCTTTATCGAAGGGTCCTACCATGAGCTCTTGGTCCACTATACTCACGTTGAAGTAATGTACGAAACTTCAAGATGAAGCTTTTAAGATTATTAATGGGGTGTTATTGGAGAGCGTAGGGGACTTTATTGTTGCAGTGGACAATGTGTTGCGTTAGGGTGCTGGCAGTTGTCTGGAATCAGTGGTAGAGCCTCTCGGAATGGTAGCAAGGAAAGCAGGCCTTTAAAGTGATGCTTGGCCCAATGTGAGAAATTGAGATGTCAGTCCCTTCTCATCGCCCAGGGACATTCCGGGACAAGATTCTTTTGCAAAAAGCCGTGCTCAGAGAAGTGGACGCCGTGGTGTACGCAAGGTCTTTGTTTCCACTGCAGGGAAACAGACATAGTCACATGAACGCATAATAGCACCACCAGCAATCCAGAAGGAGTTCAAATACCATTTGAATGCCAAGTCTATGGATATTGAATCTACCAAAGGCCAAGGTTCAGTGCATTGCAGCCTCTCCGCCTTTTGAATGAATTTCAGAGGACTTGGCCTGCGGCTATACCGTTGGAGAACGTTAAGCATTATCTTTCTTATAGCCTTGGGGTCGCTTGGAAGTACTGTCGTGCGCTCGTTTAGTCTGAGTTAGCCAATGCCACGGAAGGCAACAATATCAGGGACCTACGCAACGCAGTAGGTACAAAGAAATTGGAGTAGCTGAATGCCTTGTTCTATTCACGTAGTCCTATTGACAACGACTCAACGCTTGAGAAAAAGGAAGAGTTCTCTCTCAGCCGGTTCGGGTGAGAGGAGACTCTTATAGCTTCCCCTCTTTCTGTCACGTGAAAAGGGTAAGGTAGCGTTAACCGATAGCCTTGTGCTTCAACCATCCTTTGCCTTATCCTTTTCTTTCTATACCGTCCACCCGATTCGGGTGGAGGGCGTAGAGTACTTGGGGACAACGGTGGGCTCGTGACAAACAACTTATCCAGCTGGTAAGTATTGAGAAAACCTGGACGTGCTTGGTCGAGACTAGTGATGCCCAGTAATTGCATTGCGATCGTCAACTCTTCCTTTGGAACTGCAGAAGCGAAAAGTCAGTCCTACGCCAGTGACGCTCTTTTAAATTTTCCCACTCTTTCTCTCCATTAAAATGCATACGCACTGACACATGAATACGCCAATTCAGACCCAAACTTGTCGGAAGATTCGAAGTATGTCATGATAGGAAAAGTTAGGGGGGTAGGTCACTTACTTTCGAGAGCCTGAAAAACACCGTCCTCACCATATACCAGAGCGTACAGACGAGGACGCCCTACGCAAACAGCACGAGCACCGAGGCAGATGGCTTTCAAAACATCCGTTCCTCGTTGAATGCCATCATCAACGATGACCTCCATCTAGGTCAAAATCTCGGGACATGTCTTCAGGACCTCAAGAAGCACGAGAAGCGCGGGCGGTGTCGTGTCCAGGCCCGTCCTCCATGATTTGAGAGATAGATGCTCTCCCACCCGATGTCTGTGGCCATCTTGGCATCTTCCGCCCGCTGAATGCTTTTGGCAAAGACTGGGAGTCTCGTGTGGCGCGATCACGGGCAAGTCCGACGGAATAAAACCCGATTGTACACGTTTCGGTTCGCTCGCTCTGTAATTCCATCTTCGGTGGCGCCCGAAAGATACAAAAGGGCATATCTCGTGAGTGCTGGCGATGCGGCTGCTTCGAACTGGTTGAGACTGGTGATGGACTTGAGCGGAGACAGCGAGTTATGCTGCTGCTTGTTCGAACCCTCCTTGTTTGTCTGGTTCGTCGCCGTCATGGGGGAGTCGCTTGTCTTGAGTTTCCCTATTCTTCTCTGCTTCCCAAAACGTCGCTGCACAAGCGCTGGACTGTGAATTTTATTATATACGTCACTCCCGTCCTTCCCTAGGTGTTGGACGATGACCTCTCCGCCGCCCGGTTGCTGAGCGGCATAATTTGAGAAACCCAAAACCGTTCCGTTCAGGCCAGTCCAACTATTTTTTGCCGTGGCGTGTCCGTTCAACTCATGGACAGGAACATGTGGCTTGGCAGAAAAAGACATGATTTTGGCCACTGACCTACCCAGAGTGGTGCAGCAAGGCGTGCAAATCACCGATATTCCGTTGTCAGCACATAATCTGGCGGCTGTAGCTCGGTCGCACAGGTAAGCGGGCTTCAAGATTCCTTTAGTCAGTGCTACCCCTTCGCATACAAGCCCGAGTCCTCACTGCAAGGGCAACTCGTTTGTTATTAGCGCTTCGGGGTAAGAACTGGGCCAGAAGGATGGACGAGCCATGCAGTTTCCGATATCATCCCGGGCCATGCCAAGATCCTATCCTCACAGGGCAGTAGATCCGAGCCAATTTTGGTTATAGACAGCTGTTTTCATGATCTTCCTAGTCAGGTTAACAACATAATAGAATTCCAACAAAGCGTACTGATCTGTTTGTATTTCAAGGTTTCTCGATATTCGTTTCGCGTTAGTCAATTTTTGACAAATAGTTTATGTACATCGGCTGCCCAAGCCGTTGGGCCTCGACTTCTCTCTCCTCTGGCGATCCGATATCAATGTAGTAAAGTGATCGATGGCGGTGCCAATTGTCTACTTAGCCCGGCAGCATATATGATTTGTACTGCATCCCATCACGTGAGATGGGATGTGCTTCGTGTTCCATATTCGGATGCATGTATGGACCGTCTTTCCGAACGCTACCTAGTACACTGGCTAAGCATTACTGAACGTCTGTGCCTTTTATGAGGACTTGAGCGTATGCAAACTTCTCAAATATCGTTCACGCCAAGGTGGAGTGCGGGGACATTGCCTAGGCTGTTAGTAAGAAGAAAGCCTGTCTTTTCAGACATCACGTCTTGGTAACCTGTGCTCAGACGGTAGAAGCCAACGCCTTGTGGTTCTGTGCCCTAGAGCAATGTTGGCGCATGCAGCTCGTAAGGGACGCCTCAGCGCGCGGCTAGGTTGGCGAAACATTTAACATCGACAACGGTGACACACGCGGCATATGCTGATGAAGGTATGGTAACGCCAAGGGTAGGGGTTGTTCATTGTAATACCACCATTTGACATGATGGTAAAAGTACATGGAAATAAATACTTTCAATGCTATCTATATGGTCGTAGACTGACTGCATGCTTGCATGAGAAAGAGCTGAGCATAGCTAGATTCTCGGGATGCGAAAACTCTGACGAAGAATTGAAGATGAAGCAGTGATGTCGAGGTCGAAGAAAGTGTAAACCTCATTCAACAGAGAAACGACCGTAATGCATAATATTGCTCGTTGGAAGATGCCCACAAAAGTCTGCTCCGGACACGAAAAGGTACTGCTATCGGGTTGGTGAGTCGGCGTTTGCTGTTACAGAGCAGACACATCGCACCGTGTTCAAGGTACTTAATCGCAGGGATATCACGACACACATCTGATATTGCACCGAGAAGTACTGAGTGATCAGAACCGCAGCTACAACCAAGAGGGTTGTTCTTTTCAATGCTGATGTTGAAGAGTACAATGCAAACAACTTCATTTCTGGGGTGTGAGGGTTTTTCCTATTTACATCTTGACCACGACGACCGCATAATCTGCACTTGGGCGTACACGCTGCCACTTGTCCGGAATCTGGTCCATGTGCTCGACGAAGGTTCAGTTGACATTAGCAGTAAAGCGGCATGCAACAAGTATGCTGCGATCCGCCGCCTCCTTACGCATCGTCCTAGTGGTGGCGATGATGATGACGATGATGAGAAGAACGATGTGGAACAACCTCAAAAGCCAATGCTTCCGGAACTCGATACTTGTCCTTAATAATGAACCAATTACCAATGGCAAGCACGAAACAACCCACGGCGACAACCGAAGCCCAATTCATATTGTTAGTGGTGACTGGGTAATTCAGTGGGAAGCTCAAGAAGATAACTTGGAAGCAGATCCAGCCGATCATGAGGATGTTGAAGATGATGCCCACACGGCCGAGGTCGACGTATCGCTTGGCGGGAAGACGTTGCCGACCCTGAAGCACCAACAACGCTACTGGCAAGCCATATGAAACTCCGAAACAGATTCCGGCAGATCCGTAAATGGCATTAAGAACATACGCGGGGGCAAACTCGAGAGCATCAAAAGCCAGTGCCACCACCGCGCACGCCAGAACCGAGTTGAAAGGAACGAGCGTTTTGCCGTCGACTTGGGTGAGCCATGAGCCATAAGGGAGGCCTCCGGACTTAGCAAAAGACCAGGCAATTCGACTCTCGCCAGTCAGACACGCGTTGCAACCCTGGATAAAGGATGCAGATAAGATGATGCCGATGGTGACCAGGAAGCCTGTGTTGTGCCACGCATCCCAGCATATCTGAAAAATAGGTTGACCCCCCAAAGGTTCCAAGAGGGCCTCGGGATTGACGGTACAAAACAAAAGGACGATGATCATGACGAATGCCCCCAAGAATGAGAGGAGGAATGATCCGATCATGACCTGTGGTACGCGCCGTTGAGGGTTTGGCAACTCTTCGGTCAAGTGCGTGGCGCCATCGGGAAGACACAGAGCAACCAACGCGGGCAGCATTCCAAGACAGAAAACGAGACCATCCGAGCCCCAACCTGTGTTGTTAATGACATCGATGAAGACCGTCCTTGCATCGGCCTTCGGCTGCGCCTTGGCGAGGACCGCAACGATGATGTAGATGACGGCCACGTTGATGGCGACAACAAAGAATTTGGTGACAGCCGGATAGATTTTGATGAGCCAAGTGTTCATTGCGATAGCAATGATGAACATGGCGATGGACATCAAAAAGCTATGGTAATGCTGAGGAACATAGCTATTATTGATGATGGTAGCGGTTCCGAGGATGAACTGCGTGCTTAGAAAATAACCACCAGCTACGGCGAAATTCCATCCCCAAAGTGTCATCATTCCGTTCAAGTAGGTTAGGAAACGTCGGTATTTTGGCGGAGCCAGGATTGCCGTCCAGTATGTTTGACCTTCCATTTTCGTCAGAACAGGAAACATGCCCCTATTGCAATATCCATCCACTCACCCGCAACATGGGGGTATGCTGAAGCTAGCTCAGCAAAATTCAGCACAATGTTGCCTTGACCAACCGCGGCCACGATAAAACACCAGAAAAAGTAAGGGCTTCCTCCGACGCCCAAGGTGAATTGCAAATACCCAGCGATAGCCAGGGGAGCGCAGCCAAGAGTGTACTGAACACCCAGCACGCTCCAGAGACTGAAGCGTTCGTCGTCGAGTTTAGTGACGGCATGTTGTTCGACAGATGTGTCGGTAGTAATGGATTCAAGTGGCTCACCCGTGAACTCCTCGGTGGAATGGTGTTTTGTGGTTTCAGACATCTTCCGCAATTTGACGGGAACGAAGCGACGCAAACAAAAATGCAAATGTGTAAGAGAAGTCTACTCACTTCTCCAGAGGCGAAGGTTGCCACAACTTGACGTTGAATTGGGTTATATCTTGCTAAGAACGTGAAAGGAGTTTCAGGGTTCCCTTCAATTGTGAGGCCCAGTCCATGAGAAGTGCATGGGCATTGCTGCCACCAAGAAACCTTACTTCAACGGATTTCCCGAAGCCTGGGCTGGGGCAGATTGATAAACGCATATTACCGTTTTGTTGTTCGAAGGCGGACCCACTTCAATATGATTGGTCACAAGCCTCCAAAATAGTCAAAGGCTGATTGCGTATAAGGACCTTATCCCTGCAAGTAATATACGGGGAAGATAGGTACTAATGTGGAGAATGCTTTATCTCGGTCTTTCCAGGTCATCAACCTGGGTCTGTTATTAAGATTACTTGTAGCGGTAGGATAATAGAAGTTGTCGGTGACTTTGAGCAGGAATTTCTGGGAGTGATTTTGCGAGCTTTGATGGTAAATTGATTAAATCTGGAGAGCTATGGTCTTGTTGCTATTGGCCTAGGTACCACTTGTGCAGCGTGTGTAACAGTCCTCCGATGCAGCGAAGAAAATGGTGGGGAAGCAGCCGATTTCCGGGGAAGGCCCAATTACGAAGCTAACCTCCCCTCAATCGGTGGTTCTGGTAGCGAGTTCTCTATGTCGCTTGGGGTACAGTTCCAGACTCTCCTTACACATGCATCTGACCTCGTCTTGAGACACGCGGAGGGCGGCCAAGCCGACAAGACAGAACTAGCTCACAAGCCACGGAGGTCAATTCGGAATTTCCGTGCGTATCTTCAGCTCACGACCAGCTATTTTGGCGAAACCAATCTGACCAGTCCTCGATGAAAAGACCCACCACCCTGAAAAGTTCCAAACACAGCGGCGACTTGGCATTTACGTCTTCCTGATGTTTTCAGAGTCAGGGCCATAAATTGTTGAACTTGCGGTTTGATACAAAGAACTCCTCATCCAGCACTCTATTGCGCACTTCAGCATTGGACTTTCTGCGCAGTCTGTCTCGTTCTCGGCATCGCATTTGACTGAAGCGTACTTCTTCCTGTCATCCAGCGCATCACATTTCGATATGGGCAGCATCTCCATATCCTGTGCCACGGATCAGGTGGTAGGTAGTCATCATTTGTCGAAGGTCTGACACCACTCACATATGAAGCTAGATCTCAGAACTTGCTCGAGAATTTCCTGAACAGGTCTTCAAGCCAGGCCATTCTTCATACCTTGCTTCACAGCAAAGTTACTGGTCCGAAATTCTGAAAGAGATTGCGCCACGGTGTTTCTTCCAGCCTCGCAGTGCCGCGGAAGTTGCTCGCGCCGTTTCTCTATGTGTCAAGGCACAATGTCCGTTCGGTGTCAGGAGCGGAGGTCACGCGCATGTCTCGGGCGCGTCGTGCGTGCCTGACGGCGTTCAGATTGATCTGTTGAGGCTCAACACAATCACAATCGATCGGAACAATAACACCGCCCGTGTTGGTGCAGGCAATACGTGGAGACGTATCTATGGCGAGCTGGAGGGGCAAGGCTACATCGCTGTTGGTGGAAGATCTGCAGACGTTGGAGTCGGTGGATTCCTTGTCGGCGGTACGTGATTTCTGCGACTTTGAAGGACACAAAGACCTGTAAAGGGTTCCAAGATGCTGACTTTTATGTCGTACAGGAGGCATTTCGTTCTACGCGGCCGAACATGGTTGGGGGATTGATAACGTTCGATCTTTCGAAATCGTTCTCGGCTCAGGCGAGGTGGTCACCGCAAGCCCGGACAGCGAGCCGGAGCTCTTTCGAGCTCTAAAGGGCGGTGGCTCCAATTTCGGAGTCATTACGTCTTATACACTCAACATTTACCCCTACCGTGGCATGTGGGGTGGTCGTACCCTGGTTCACCCGAGTCACGCCCAAAAAGCAATTGAGGCGTACGCCGACTTTATTCCCAGATTGGATGTGGACTCCAAGGGCCACACGATTGTGATCTTCGACAGCCACGCTGGAGAAATCATTATTCGTCAATACTTGGTGTATTCGCAACCGACCCCGAATCTTCCCATGTTTGATTGCCTGCGAAAAGTGCCCACCCTCGAATCTCCTCTGGGGTTGACGGACTATTCGGTGTTGGCTGCAGACATTGCCGATCTTCAAGGTGGTCACGGCCTTCGTCATAATTGCTCCACGTTGACCATCAAATTGGACGTGGAGCTCCTGCGGTACACGTACGATCTATATGTGGAGGCATCTCAAGCCGCAAAGGACTGGGCTTTTGGATGTCTGGAGTTTCATGCCCTTCCTCGTTCTCCCAAGCCCGGAGAGAATATGTACAACTTGAAGAGGCAAGACGGACATCTGATATGCATCATGCTGGCATTCAGCACTGCAAAGTCCCAGTACGATCAAGCAGTGCTGGACATGCAGAGAACCTTACTCGGGAAGGTCAAGGACGAAGCGATACGTCGTGGGCTCTACCACCAGTTTCTGTTTGCAAACTATGCCGGTTCATTCCAGGATGTAATTGGAAGCTACGGCGAGAGCAGCGTCAAATATCTATCCAAGATGATTGACAAATACGACCCGGACCATGTTTTCCAGCAACTTAAGCCTGGAGGTTTCAAGGTGGAGGCAGGTATCCGGCAACGACTGTAGGGCCAGAAAAGGTTTTGGGGCATGATAAATTCCGAAGCTTTAGGTCTATAGAAAATCAGTCCGGTTGAAAAAATCTCCCGGGACAACTTTGACCGTCTCGGGCCTACATATTGTAAGTTTGACTTGTCGAAGCGTACAAAGACTGCATATGTAATTAGCTTCATTACAAGCGTTACAACCTGTTGGGGCTTTGCAGAACAAAGATGATGCATCGTGTGCTAAGACTCGAGCTCTTGTAAGGGATGATTGTAAGTCGATTTGAGTATTTGTCGGGTCGTACTTCAAAGGGCACCACAAAAGGTCCCGGGCGAATATGAACCATGATTCGTTCTTTGGTTTTATTTGCACAACAAGTCTTCGCCTCCACTGGTAGAGGGCCCAAACTGGAAGGTATATCCAGAAACAATGAACATCACAGAAACAAGAGAAACAAGTTTCCCCTCGGGCGTGCATTGAGTCTGAATGTCCATAGGCAGCCACTGCTGTACGATTGAGCCTGATCGTTAGTCATTAATTAAGCATTAATGGAAATCTCATCTTGCAGTCTGCTGTGAACGATAAACGGGGCTCTGGTTTTTACGTGCCATTTCCTCGCATGCTCCCCGCATGCTTCTCATATTTTATTGCGCTGGAGGAGTAGAGAGGAACTATGAGTTTATAGCTATTCTACAATCGAGAACCTTGGACCGTCTCAACCTGGAAGTCGTCGAATGTGGCCGAAAACCCCTCAGTTGCGGTGTTGTTGGTATCCGGTCGGGAAACGTAGATGCATATCCAGATATTCGGGTCCGCATCTCGGAGATTCGCCAGTGGCCATGTGAAGAGTCGGATGGTAGTGGGCTCTTGCTTCCCAGCACCAGCCTCGTCAGCTGGTGGAATCAACCGCGCCAAGAGCCCAGAGCCATATCGTAAGAACTCAATAGTGAGAGACTCGAGATGTTTCGGGGTCGTTGGCCATGTTGACCAATCCAGTAGATGGTTGGATTCCGCCACAGCGATGATTGGTTGCCCTCGAACGACTTCCAGGCCATATTTGATATAGTAAGGGGCAGACTCGGCATCACCGGGCTGTTCGGCATCGGGGGCTGGCAAACCTGGCAGAGGTCGAACGAACAGCAATCCGATCTGATCGTATTCACACGTCGTCGACAATGTCGGCCACCTGAAAGTCGCCCGAGCGCTTTTGAAGTCGGCTGCTCTTAATGCTACTTTGGATAACGGAGATGCAAATTGCCAATGTTTGACTTTGGGGTTGAACGGAATGCCGACCACATCTTTCCCCGGTGTCACGGTCAAGGTGAGAGGATCTGAATCCTTGTCTCGATTGACGGCTTCTAGCTCAAGTGAAGACATGACGGAGATCGAGATTCTTTGAGGACTGGCAGGAAAGGCTTGCCAAACCAACAGATTGTAATTCAATTATCGCTCAGCATTTGGAGAATAATATTTTCAGATCGAACTCTGGTCTCAGCATGAGTTTATTTAGAAATCAAGTTGTTGGGCGACCTTTCAAGTTGAGCTCGCTTCTTCAGGCCAACATTGACCGGAAGGATAGGATAACACGATTTTCGGACTTTCCGTGCCCAGTCTGATAGGCACTTACTCCGAGACTCCCAGAAGAATATTCGGTTTTCATGGTCGCAGTTTGCTTTTCCAAGCTAGATTCAACTCAAGAAACGCTTTTCATCTGCCATATCCACAGTAGAACCTCAGTTGGACACGGATTTCATCAACGATGTAGTTCATTTATTACAACAGGTGGGTATTCGGATTCGGATTGTCGAGGTAACATCCTCCGTTGGCTCAAAGTCCCGAGATCAAGAGGATTTCTTTGGAACTCTCTACCTCGCGCACAATCTTCTGCTGCCCCCAATGTCTGCCACTCAGGTCTTCAGTATCGCGGATTGGGGATCCCAATCAAACCCCCGAACGGCCACAGGCATGCAGCGAGTGGCGCAAACAACGCCGGTGTCTGAAATCGGTCGCATCATCCAGGATGACGGTGCGATAGTGATTAAGCAGTTCCTGTCCACGGATCAAACGGATTGCATTAACGAGGAGCAGGACCCGTATCTCAAGGCTCTGATCCCGTCCGGTCAACTGGTTGACATGAACGAAGGCATCAAGAACTTTTTGGGTCATAACACCAAAGGGTTGACGGATCTATTGCAACTCAGCAAGACTTTGAGGGCGGAAGTGATCAACGACGATCTTATGCATAGTATTTCAGACGAGATTCTCGGGAAGCAAGTCGGTGACTATTGGATGAGCACCGCCACCATGATGGAGATCGAGCCCGGCAATCCTCCGCAGAAATTGCACCGAGGTTTCGGAACTGGTGGCCGTCGCTTATTCCACAAGTAGGCAAAGAAACGCCAGAACTGATGCTCAACTTCCTCATGGCAACCAATCAGAGCACTGTCGAAAATGGTGCCACTCGAGCCATTCTCGGCAGCCACAAATGGAATTACGCCGCTGCAGATTATAACTTGGGCGATGAAAAGTCAAACGGTTCCCGTCGAGCTAGAAAAAGGTGACTGCTTGATCATTGGCGGCAAAATCGTTCACAGAGGCGGATGCCATCAGACCAAGGATTACTTATGAAGAGTCATCGCTTGAGTCATGGCCACGAGTGCCTTCACCCAGGAAGATGCGTTTTCTCATACTGTGCCTTTAGAACTGGCCAGAACCCTACCGGAAAGGGTGCAAAAGGTTCTGGGATTTCGAAATCAATGGCCACTCGGTAGTCCCTGTCTCTGGTTCCTCAATGCCGATGACATCGGCTGCTACCTAGGCTTGATGGACGTAGGACGTGGTGATTGCAAGGCTAAAGCCGGCTGAGAGCATGAAGCTGGCGTTAATTCAGTCGGCAGGAATGGGTCACCTTGTCAGCCTGATCGCCTCTGAAGACGTGGGCTCTCTAGGCTTTCGAGGCTCTTTGATCTCATCTCCTTTCCTGTTGTGGTCGGGATAAGATTTAGGGCTCTGGATCTGTTCCCCAATTCAAGTAGTCCTTGCTGTTTGGGTGATATCACAAGCCATGGCGACGACTGGTCGACTTGACGTCTGCGAACGAGGATTACGGCAGCAATGTTCAAGGAGAACAGGCGTGAAGCTCGAGTGATAGGTAAAGCTGGTGTATACTCTGGGATCGCGATTTTATGTTCAAGTATAGGCCGCAAGACCGGGAGCCCGTGGTCGAGATCATTGAATCCAGGGAGTATAAGTCGTGGGGAAGAACACCATAATTCCAGTTCAGCCTGGGCTTTTGTGTCTAGAAAAGAGAGACCACGCCCTTCCACGCCATCGACGCTGTGGTCTGCCCTCAGTCACTGGCCATCCTATTCCCATCTTGCTATCTAGTCATGTGGTTGACTGCTGTCGTAGGTGTACGGCTGGGCAACAGCTACTTTGTGCAGCACAGCTCTCGCATTGTAGGTCCCATATCCACCTTGTGACCTCCCAAACAACTACGAATCGCGTAATTCTACTTGAAGAACCGAGCATAGAGCATCAGGACAGAGGGTTTGGAGAGGGAGTGTCGGAGATTCCGGTCAAGCCCGATGGACGAAACTACCAGGTTCGTTAGAAAACGCCAACTTGATTTCCCGGGATGACATCCGTGGACGGGGCGTTTTGATTTTCTCGTGCTAGTGGCTTTTGTCTTTCGGAATCACGAAGTCGTGGCCAAGCTTTATCCCAGAAAGATCCATGGTCTCGCGCCGTCAGTGCCCTCGGGAACTCCGTGAGCGGGCACTCAATCCTATTGTCAGATGCACAGATCACTGTTGACTTTGACGCTAATATCAACAACAGAGAGGTCTCTGCGGAATGCAAGATGAACATCTTATCACGACCAAGAATCTTTTGTTGTGAGTACAGACAGTAATTCAAACATCCGTTGCTGTGGTCTTAAGTTCAACCCATGTCAAAATCCCAGATTCAAGGGAAAGTGAAAGAGTTCCTTGGCGACCATGGGTCACTCTTCATATGCAGCAGATGCATTGAAGAAGGCTCATGACCAGTTCACGGCTCGGAATCCCCAGTCTCTGAAAGTTCATCGAGATGCTCACCAAAATCTTCCTGGCGGCAACACCAGAACGGTGCTCCACGCCGAGCCATTTCCTATCACCTGGGTTCAAGGAAACAAGAATACATTGACATCTATTGACGGTGACGTGTATACGGATCTTCTGGGAGAGTTCAGCGCGGGGATCTTTGGTCATTCGGAACCACGCATCGCTGAAGCGGTCCAAATGGCCTTGTCTGGCGGGTGGAATTTCGGTGGAAACACGCTCCTGGAAAAGAGGTTCGCCGCCAAAATATGTCAACGGTTTGGCCCAGCAGGAATTGATATGGTCCGATTCACGAATTCCGGCACCGAAGCCAACACTACCGCTCTGAACGCCGCGGTCGCCATCACCTCGAGACGAAAGATCTTAGTCTTCAGCGGGGGATACCATGGCAGTACTTTGGTATTTCCGATGACTCTGATGAAAGGTTCGACCGCGGCGCCGATGAATCTACCGCACGAGTTCGTCTTCGCACCCTATAACAATATTCCCGAGACACAGGCAATTGTTGATAAAGTCGGCGGCAATAGCCTGGCCGCTGTTTTGGTCGAACCAGTCCAAGGATCCGGCGGATGCAGGCCTGCTACGGATCTCTTTATGCAGTACCTGCGTCAGCTCTGCGACAGGAATGGCGCGCTCCTGGTGATTGATGAGGTTATGGCTTCTCGCCTCGGCGTGTCAGGATACAGCGCCAGCCTAGGAATTAAAGGCGATGTCGTGACCTTGGGCAAGTACGTTGGTGGAGGCATGACCTTTGGCGCATTGGGAGGCCGCAGGGATATCATGGAGCGATTCGACCCGGCGAAGAACAATCTTTTCCATCCAGGAACATACAACAATAATGTGCTTACTATGTCAGCTGGCATAGTGGGGCTCGATATCTACAACGCCGCCGAAGTCGCTCGACTTAATCAGCTCGGTCGAGATATTAAGGCCAAGATCCAGCAAATTTTGATTGATCAAAATGCGTATCCGGACACGATCTCGGAAGCATCGGCCGACATTATCGAGATTGACAGCCTCGACTACGATCTCATGATCCAAGTGGACGGCGATATAACGCAAGCTTCGACAGGCCTACCGTTGATGTTCATCACAGGTCGTGGAAGCATGCTGAACGTGCGGTTTTCCGGGCCAGACGCCGCCATCTGGCAAGCGCTATTCTATCATCATATGCTTTCCAAGAATATCTACATCGCCACTCGTGGCTACACGCCTTTGCACTTGCAAGTCACCCCCGAAGATGCTCAGAGATACGTGGATGCTATCCGTGAATTTGTCCACCTGCACAAAGACCAATTGCGTTGGCGTCACTTGGCTGACCGCGTGAATGGTGTAATTTGAGAAAGTAAATAAGAGAAACGGGCAGTTTTTGCAAGGCTTGTGTCGGAGTGGACAAACATCAAGCTTCAATGAACACTCAAAGTACACTTGTTCATTTCGACAACACTTGTCACGATCAAGAGCAGGTCAAGTAAACAGAGTAATAAACAGAAATTTAATCAACCAAGGCAGTCACGGCATGCGTGAACCAATCACAAATCGCCGTAGGAGATCAAACATTCTGATATGTTGAACACCTAGCATTCTCTCATCCAGCTTCACAACATAATGATCACGTCGCAGTGCCCACACAACAACGCACAGTTAGTTCCTCTCTCCAAACTCAATTGTGGACAAGAATATACACGCATGACATTTTTCCAGCCATTCAACACAGCGATGAAACATCAGTCTCAATAGTCTCTTAAACTCTAGTAGATGAGACGCTCGAAACCTTGGTCCGGATCATTCATATACCAAGCCTTGTCTTTGCCTTCTTCATCCATCGTACACCAACCATTGCCTAGATATGCGAATCGATTGTGCGAATGTCGAGTCCACTTGTAGTCCTCCCAACGCGGTTCTTGTAGCATTTGGAACCAGTGTAGTCGACTGCCGGGATGGGTAAGTGGAGGACTGTCTTTCTTGCCTCCCTTCATCCACGAGCGACATTTACCTGCCCAAACAGTCCGCTCCATGAATTTGTCAGCGTGCTCGATAAAGTCGTTTACTGCTTCTTCCAGAGGCTCGACTGCCTTGTAGTTCTGGGACTGAACCTTGTAAATCAACTGGAAGAGATACTTAGTCAAGTGCTCTATACTGGGCAATGCTGAACCGTGACTGAGTGGAGAATTAGGTCCAAGGAAAACTGAACGGATCCGTTAACAAGCTAGCTCGGACGACAATGGAAGACCTAATGCCCCCCTCCGGAACAGAACTTACCAAAGTAGTTGGGGAAATTTGCCACCGTGCAGGACAGATAACTCTTCGGGCGGTCTTTCCATTGCTTGCGCATATCGATGCCGTCGCGCCCAATGATGGGAAAGCGTGGACGCCACGAGGTCTCGAATCCCGTGGCACAGATGATTGCATCGTACACCAGGATCGTGCCATTCTTCAACTTGATGCCGTTTTCCACTACCTGCGCAATTGAGTCGTACTCGACCGTGACATTCGGAGCCGTGAGAGATTCCAAATATCCCGTCCCTGGAGTTGGTCGCCTGAATCGTCGTTAGAGATTCAAACGATGGCAGTTGAGCGCAACTCGAAAGGGAATCACTCACCTGCAGCCAAAGCCGAATTCAGTAGGGATGAGTTTATCCGCGAGGTCTTCACTGCGAGAACCAAGCCGAGTTTTCATCATTTTCGTGATCCCCTCCACCGCTTGAGCTTGTTGTGGGGAGCCGCTGAGAGACTATTCGTCTCGTAGTCAGTTTCGAACTCCAAATCAAATTGTTCTTGGCATCACATACAAATGCGAAATTGCTGTTCATGTCCGTCTCAATGGCTTTGCGATACTGTAATGACTTTGGGGGATCGTTGCGGAACTCTTCTTTTTGCTGTTCGGAATCTGTCGACCATCAGCTTTTTGGACTGTTTGCCAGGAGGGCATCAAACACTCAGACAAAAGAAGTTGGATCCGTTGGGACCAGCAAAGGCTTGAGCATACGACGTGGAGATCCACGTCGGATTTCGGATGAAATTGGTCAGATGCTCGGCAACTAGCAGGCAATGTCAGTGTTTTCTTTTACTAAACTCGATAGAGCAGCTAAAAACTCACTCGGCTGCAAAGCGGTCACAAGCTGGATGCCTGAAGAGCCATTTCCCACGACCGCAACCCGTTTTCCGGACAACTGGACACTTTGATCCCAATGTGCCGAATGCAGAAGGGTTCCTTTAAACGACTGAATGCCCGGAATGTCAGGCCATTGCCAGTGGTTCAAAAATCCAGCCCCATTGACCAGGAAATGACACGAATCTTGAATTTCTTGTCCTGTGATCTGGTTGATGATGGTCACCTTCCAGATGCCGTCCTCTTCACACCACTCTGCACGTGTGACGAGGTGTTGTGTCTTGATGTTTTGGTCGAGCTGATATCGCTGGCTCACTTCGATAAAGTATTTCAAGATCTCTGGTCCGGTGACGTAGAAAGAGCTCCATTCCGGGTTCAGTGCCCACAAGAATTGATAAATATGGGAAGGGATGTCACAGGCACAACCAGGATAGGCATTCTCGAACCACGTGCCTCCTATTGAGGGATTCTTTTCGTAGACTGTTAGATCGATGTTCTTAAGATGCCTTCGAGTTCGGTAGATGAGATTCAATCCCGTGGCACCTGCTCCAATGCAAATCACCTTGAGTGCCTTCGCCTCACCCAGGGGATATTCCTCGATCTCGTACGAGTCGCGCTCGGCCGACGAACCACGCATTTCCTTTTCGATACTGATGCTGCCCATGGCCCCGGTTTCTTCTGCAGGACGTGCTGGCCGTTGTTCGGTATCTAAGAACTTGAGCAACTGTGACAGTCTTTGGAAAGGCGTGCTGGGCCAGGAAAAGATACCAACGTTGACGCCGAGTCTTGATCGTGCACACATTTCAAGGACGTAACCAGTCTTCACTTGAACGTCTGTATACATAATAACTTGAATGTCTAGATTCGCCCGTATCAACTTCTCTGACCAATGCCAGTGTGATCATCGCTGAGGCCCTGGGACCGAGATTCCGAATCTCGGAATTTCCGAAAAGCATCACATCAATTGCTGAAACCGCCGGACCCCCCAGAGAAGTTGGGAAAATCCACACAGTAGAAGCGAATAGCATCGTACGATAGAAGCCTCGGCTAGGATCATGCTTGGCTGAACATTGAGGTGAGACCTTCGCCACTCTCTTGCAAATGCGACAGAACACATTCCTGCCCCGTGTCTTACAAAGATGTTAGCGAGATAAGAGTAGGCTTTTCAGCGAAAGCTTCGTCGCTACTACGATCACACCACCTGGGGACCCAGAATTCCTAATTCTGTCCCATTGTGACCTTCTTCCGCCTTGCCAGTCCTGACGTCTTCTTTTTGTTACGAGAGGAAGTCCACAGGATATTTTCTCACGTAATAACGTTCACCTGGAACTCAAGTTATTTCACGAGAACCTATGGTCAAGTAAAGCAAAGCCCTCGGACACTCTGCTCCCCTACTTTCCATATTATCACGTACCTCAATCCATACGCGCAAAAAGAACCGTTTTCCCTGAGACGGTGACGGCTTTTCCATAGATGAGAGTCTATTTGATTTCTTTTTTATGGCCTACGAAAAGCCACTGAGTACGTGCGACTCCTGCCGACGTCGCAAAGTCCGCTGCATTAGTGAGAAACTCTGCTTTGCTCAGATTCTACGTCTACTGATGGTATTGTAGAGAATCATGCAGAGGACAATATTTGCGCAAATTGCACGGTGAGGCATGCTTTCCTCCAATGTATCACCGCGCGTGTACTCACATTTTTTCTATCAGGAGCGCGGAGACGAGTGTCACTTCTCACCCGTTAAAAGGCGCAAGACTCGCTCGAACCCAATTCCCAGTCCATCAGTCACCACGCGACCCGATCTAGACGACACAAATGCGTATCACTCAAACCATAGCACAGATTTGGTGAGCCTGTCAGATCATACGGAACCGCTTGCGCCATGTGCCCCTGAGGTGTTGGCTGGCGATTCTCCACAAGACCTGTTGCGGCAGGTTTGTGCCCGCACAGAGAGCGCCCCGACCGATGGCGGACAAGGCGTGTCATTCCAGGTTGGTGCACTGCAAAGTTTGATGTTATGGCTCGGGTAATGACCTTTTGTATAGCGGAGTAATACATACAGTATGAATGAAATCTGTGGACTTCCAGGGGATAGGTTAAAAATTGAGTCTGACGACTGTATAGTCACGAGCTGCGGCCTTGCTTTCTTTTCCGATAACAGTCTGACGGCCTTGGCCGATCGACTGGGACATGATCGAACGAGGGAGATTGTCGTCGAGATGCAGAAGAAAGCCAGAGCTCGTCAGACTGCTCCGTTGAGTATCTTCCCGCAGACCCGATCCGACTATACTTGTGTTCTCAATTCATATTCACCACAGCGCAGGGCAACGTATATTGGATGTGAGTGATAACTCAGTCGGCCTCTTCTTTGCGGACAGACTCCAACCCTCCCTGACTAGCTTTCTTCAATGACCTACATCCGGTTTATCCTTTTCTCGATCAGTCGAAATTTGAATCCACAGCCTTCGGTGCGCAGCTGGAGGAGATTCTCCAAACCAACCATGCGTGGGCAGCGCTGTATTACTCTGTCCTCAGCCTGGGAGCTCTTTTGCATGAGGGCGGATCGTTCGAACCAATGGGCGGCCCGGCTTGGAAAATCTTTATCTTTGCCCTAAGATTATTCCCGACCATCCTCTTTGCCAAAAAATCTCTTCTGGTTGCTCAGGTGAGTTCGCATGTATGGTGCATTGGAACCGATTTGTGACCGAAAGTTGAGTAGGCTTTAACCGCAATGGTATGAAGTTGGGAATGACCCTTGCCTTGGCCTTCTGTATACTCATCGTAGTGAACTCAAAGGCATTGTTCGCGTTAAATCACTCGAGTTGGCCTGTCGAAGAGCTCTTGGTCACGGAGGCTGCCCGCATCGCCATCGCGCTCCAGCTGAACAAGCTTTCTCACAATCACCTGAATACTCCCGAACGAGAACGGACATTCTGGGTCATTTACTGTCTCGAAAAGGAATATAGCTTTCACTCGACGCAGTCCTCAGTATATTTCCTTACTAAAACCGGTCCTGTTTCCCTCTAGCATCACTGACTAATGCTTTCTTAGGTGTTTAATGATGCTGACATTAGTTGTCCGCTTCCAGAACCAGTCATGGATAGCACAGACGGTGTTGACTGGCTGCAAATTCAGGTTTGCTTCTGCAAAATCCTTTCCTACTCGTACAATCAATTGTTCGCATGCGGCACGCCTTCGCGTGCCGAAGAGTTCTATTCCACCGAGATTGAGCAGATCCGACACCGACTTCAACACTGGGTGGCTTCAGTGCCGGAAAGGTTTCGACCAGGAGTCGTAATTCGATCGAGGAACTTTACCAAGCCACATCAAAACTATGCCCTCCTCCAGGTACATTTCCTCTACTATTCTCTCCAGATTGCGCTGTCGAGGCTCCTCGTCCACGTTTACGCCGATCGCCGTTGCGCGTCCGTGGCCGAGAGCAAATTGACGTTGATGAATTCTGCGCGAGCGATCATTGAAACTCTTCAATTCGTTCCGCCAGAGGCTTCGCTCCCCATGAAGTAAGTCGTTCGGGCCGGTCTCTTTCCTGTTTGTTCGTCTCATTGAGCACTGACGAGGGTAGCATTATTGGTCTGGCACCTATCGTGGCTAATTTCATCCTCTTTGACCTTGTCGTCTATAATCCGGAGCATTCTGAGACAAAACTGAATCTCATGTACCTCGAGATCGTGACTGGGTTTCTCCGCCGTATCGGTCTCAAGTCCAGTAACCCAATGCCAAGTTCTTCTTTTGCGGAACTTGGAGTTATCGCTCGCGACTTTGTGACGCAGAAGGCCGGCCGTGGTGAAGGCTACCAGGATGCTCAAGGCAATCGACCGGTTCAATTTACAGGGGCATCGGTGTCTCACTATGAACGGGACGCGGCTTCCTCCGAGGTCTTGGGTCATGGTCGACATCGTAATGGAATAGCAATTCCGGCCTCTATCCTCACTCAGGTATACTGCTTTTGCCCCCTTCCTTCCTCTTCACTGGGCGATGTTTAACGAACATTTGCGAGGCTAACTTCCGCTTAGCCTTCGGATGTCACAGATCGCGGTCAAATTGATTTATGGGACAGTCTTGAAGAGACAATGCACTACCCAGTCATGGATCATATCTCGGACTTGGACGGTTTTGGCGATGACTTTGTTATCCGCGAGCTCTTCGGCCAACACCCGACTTTTGATATTAATATTTTAGGCCAATGAGCCTGATAGAGCGGTATGAGGCTATCGAGCGGCATGCAAGGTCGTCTTTCTCCGCATCCTACTACCCTGCCCGATGGAACCCATCAAAGTTTTTCGAGTACGACGGGCTCCGAGATTTTTTCAAGTGCCTAAATTGCTTGGATGCTACGACCGAGCCAGAAGAGCCTCCCTTGATATCTTGACTGTAATGTGCAGAACCCTCGTTTACCGCGGTTCCATCTTCGGTAGCTTCATCCTTTACACATGATTGAGAACTTGACGCAGAAATCCCTCCCCCTTGAAAATTCGAAGATTCGCTCTTCCATTGAACCGACTTTCGTTTGATGAGGGTCCGAGAAATCACTCCTGAGCTCTCCAAAAGAGGCTGATCGATGCTAATTCTGCGTAGCCACCTGGTTTTCTTTGGTTACTGGACAAAGCTTCAACAGTCTGCAGCATCTAGGGGTTATATGATTCTCTTCTTCTAAAGCGGAATTTAAGGAGAGTTACTCTATTCAATTGTTCTTTAACTTTGTTTGGCCAGTTCTTTCAACGATCCAGCACCATCTCATCAAGCTTCGTATGTCTTCTTTTCCCAGTCTAGGATTTTCTCGATGCCATCCATATTAAGACGCCGAGAAAGGCCGCACTTTTTATCCGCCTATACGAGACCAGCGGAGATCAATATACTAATGAAATAGTATCACTTACGCTCATATAGAATATCTCCAAGGTCTACACTCATAGAAAATTTCGTGCGCCTTCCTATAGTTCACTTTCATGTCTTTCTTAATTAACTTAGCAGCTAGCTCTGACGCTAAAACCGCGATAATAAAGAAAGCTAACCCCTTACGGCGTAGAATCAAATTTCGATATTTTCGTTCCTGGATCACGAAGCACTTCTGGGTTCGGTATGCACGTGCAACAACGCACAGGGGGGCTGTCCGGCAGCTCGGTAATCGAGACTATCTTTCTGGTCGACGCTGGCAAAACAACGCCACCACCAGCACTACCCACAGAGAGGTAGCGGCTAGGGCAACAAGCACCAAGCCAAGCAAGGACACCACGGGCACGTCGGATGTCGAGAGCATAAAGCATGGATTCACAGCCACCGCTAGGTTCGAAATGACCATTCTCTTTGACAAGGTGTTCCTCGAATGCAGCACTCCTGAGCACAGGCTGAAGCCAGCGCCCTTTCGTGTCCACTGCCGCTTGAGCCCGCTCTCTTAGCTTGTCTCACAGAGCCGGCCTGCGCTCCGTCTTCGAGGAACCGAAGCGATCGGGCCCAGAAATGGTCGATGACACTTCCGGCAAGGGATACAGTTCTCTGGGAGTCGTCGATCACCTGGTCATATCGATCTGACTAGTCAGCTTTGCGTAGAGTGGAGGTATTTCGCGGCACGCTAGCAGCCCGAAGGCGATGGGCGATGACAACAACCATGACGTGATTTAAAACAGCGCCAGCTAGTGTGGTAGCACAGGGGCGGTGCAAGTACAGGACGGTATGCTTGAGTTTTGGAAACCTCTGAATATCTCTGTAAATATTGTCGTACTAAACTCCGTAGCAAACACGCGCGAGACTATAGACGGACGGAATAGAGAAAAGACCAACCTCGAGACAGGGACGAGTACACTTGAAGAAATCAGGAAGCCTCATTTACCTAGTAAGCAATGCTTTCATGGTTACAAGGTGCTTCGTACAGAAGTTGACGATGGTGAGCACTAAATTCTATCAGCCTTCGCTATTGTGCCACCTACCAACTTTGTCAATTTCGACTTTTCCCGTCTGCTCATCACGGTGTCTGCCTTCACCAACGTCGGCGCTTCTCTAACTGCTGCTTTTCAACCTCGGAACGGCGTGGCCGGTATCCTGGCTTCAATGCACGCAAATTGTAGTTGCAGTGTGTCCTCCTTCACTGACTGTTGAATCGCGGCTTTGCCGTTAGTCGGGTGGTCTCCACCGAGAGAGTGTGTCTGGTGTTGTCACACCCTGTACGCGGCAGCCGTGTGGAATGGCGACGTTGCTGCCATGATAAAGATCGTGGTATAACCCTAGATAGTCTCCCAGCGGACGGCATGATCCTGAATTTACCATGAAAGTGTGGCAGTGATCTCCAAGACACCACCTGCCATTTGGAAGAGTGCCCCTTCAGAACCCCGAAGAAGCGTCAAGTCCACGCTGACCGACTGACCGCGCTTCAAAAGCTGCGTGCCAGAGCTGTCGGTATAGATAACGAGTGGCCTGGTCGACCTGATTGTCAGAAAAATCCTCGAATGCTCTGGCTACTGAGACCGATGTTTTTCGGTGCCATTACAGTGGCATCTCCTGCGTTGGCCCAGGGACCTGCAATCCCGCATCGTCAGTGGGCAGCCGCGTTAGAGTGTTATACTACCACGGAATGCCACCAGGCCTGACCATGATAGTCCGGTAGATGCCTCGGCCTCTCAACGTGCGTACAGCAATAGCGAAGATCATATTATGGGGAAATTGAAGCGGTGGTGTCGCCATATCCGCAATGTCGTTGGACCTTGTCATGAAGGTGTACGCATGGGGTTCTTTCGGTACGTTACCCCCTGGATGCATCAGTGACAAGTCATGACCGAGTTCATGACAAATGGTTCGAAAATAGCTGTCGGGACATTTCCCACCATCGGTGCTGTAGCATGACGGCGTGCAGCTCGGCGTCAGTCCATGTTCTTGTAGCCGTGCCACAAATCACCTTCAAAACATTCTCTTCGCTTTGGATGACCTGACGTCGTACCCAATTTCCTTGAACACAGTCCTCCAGTCATTTCCAGATGCATCGCAAATCTGCATTTTGCAGTCTTTGACCGTGTGAATTTTAATGGAAATTTTTCGATACTGTTCTGCAACCCAGCCCATGGTCAAAAGTCTGAGTACCAGCCCGATCTTTTCGTTCTTCACACTCCCAGCGAAGTACTCTGCCACGAATCCGGTCGGCCGAGTGCTTTTGCTCAAGCCATCAGTGTAAGGTTCCATCGGAGATGATATAAAGGCTTTGCTCGCAGAACTACATTGGATATAGCGGTACCTCTCAAACGCCATAGTGTATTCGTATCCAAGGAGAGCACAGGAGGCAAGTGGATCATTCTCAGGAAATATTTGTACGATGCAATCGGCAAAATTGGCGCCCCTTGCGACGGATCCGGGGGTTTACCACTAGTTGGTGAAAAGGACCGCGCACAGAGATCTCCATTGCCAGGAATCGCGAGCAAGCCTCCGGTCTTCGAATCATGCAGCCACTCAGCTATTCGGCTGGTGTACAAGCAGAAGGAAGTATGGTGGCTTGGATGGTAAGGCGCTCTAAAGGTATTGAAAGAGAGTCAACCTGTAAACCAAGTGAGGGCCTACCCAAGAAACATAATCACCTGAATCTCACACCGGCTCTTCACCAGGCATATCTTGGCGCTTGCAGTATAACTCCCCATTTAGCAATTTTTAGTGTACTAGTCTGTCTCACGAGCATTTCCCGGTTATACGCCATAAGCTGTGGAGTCTGAGGTCGCTGCAATAGGTGGTCTCGGCCTCTTGCAAGGGAGCGAGAGGGATCCTGTTCAGAATGATCCGAACTCGTTTCAGGCCTTTAGCAAAGCGAATTGCGGGATTCTTCGCTAGGCCCTGGACCCCCGTTCCCCCTATGAAGATTCCGAAGAGGCTGGTCTGAAGATGCATGTACTCGCGCAATATCGTGAGATTTTGCCGATCTAGCGTTGGCTTTTGTATGCTCAGGATTGAGGGTGCAGCTTTTTAAAACTTGAGATGCGGTGAGGTTGTGGCGGATGGGATCCATACAGAGTCTGGTGTGTCTCCTCGGGGAACCACTTCGTGTTTGCTGTCTCTGTCCCGGGTCAGGGGAAAGTCTCCTGCAGACCGTGATTCAATATTTGGATCGTTGCTGCCTTTCATCAACATCTAAAGTACTTGTCCACCCTGGTGATGCTGCAGAAATCATCACTTAGTGACCCACAGTTAGAGACGGCAAGACCCTGCAAGTGGGTGAGAGCTAGCCAAGCATTCCGAAGAACAACGGATCACTGGTCCCGTTGCCTACGAGAAACTCGTCGAAAAAGGTATCGCGCGCTGGAGAGGAGAACAGCGTCAAGCCCGGGAAATCCCACTCGAAGACGAACTGCTCTGGAACAAAGGTCTCGATCTCGTTCGTCGCGGCAGAGCCTCCTGTCGTCCAGAAGAAATTGAGTGGTGACCGAGAATCCTGTCCAATGTCGGTTGGGTTGATGTCACTCTGGGCAGGACCCGAGCCGTCGTTTTGAAGCGCGCGGCCATACTTTTGAATGCTCTGCTGGAGAACCTGCAGATACAACCTGCTGGTGTTGCTGCGACCGCCGCTGGTCCATCCGCCACCGGCCTTGTTCAGTTCGTTCAGAAGCATATACCCGTCATCGAGCAGCTGGCGCCTCGAGTGGTCGTCTTCTTCAGGCAACAGACGGGTCAGCTTCAGCAGCAGCAAGAAGCAGAACGCGCATTTGGCCCAGACGAAATCCATCGCATAGCAAAATTTGGACAGGTAATACTGAGGCTGGTCGAGGATGATTCGGAGGTGTCCCTTGAGCGCGTCCTTGGCCATGTGGAGGATATGTCGCTGTGTTGAGGACATGGCGGCGATATTTTCATTCCCTAAAGCACGTAGTGCCCGACACAACGCCACCGTCTGAGACCAATACTTCTGCACTTCAAGGTTGAGTAGAAGCACTGGCGTCTCGTCACTCGACGAACCCTGCATGATATTCTTCCAATCGTTGTACCAGACATCGATATCAACTTGGACATCCCGGAGGATGTCCATAACTGCTTCTTCATCAAATTGCTCGGTCCCTGCTATTGAGTCATGCGTCCTCCCTCTGAGCGAATTAAGCTCGACTTGCGACAACAGACGGAGGTCCAGGATTGTGGTGAACGGCTTGTTCAGAAGGATCCGGCAACGCCGCGGGTCGCCTCGCGAATGGAAACTCCGCAGATTACCAGCGTCAACCCGAAGGATCTGCTCGAGCACCATCAGCTGAAACCAAGCCCGAGCGCGTCTCATCAATACAGCGTCGGCCTCGTCGTATTTTTGCGAATCTCGATTCTGAGACAATGACCCTCTACTGACGATTTTCCTGGTCAAGTCTTCGTAGGCGTCCGGAAGGCCGAGATCCAGAGCCATCCTCGTCGCAAACGCTAACAGCAAAGATCGCTCTGAAGTATAGCAAGCCGTGACCAGGAGAGCCTGCACAGTCTCTAGAGAGGCGTGCTCCGGACTGACAATGACAAGGTTCAGCATCTTCTTCAGGTGGAAATTAAGCAGGTGACAGATCTGGGAATCCGCATCGCTGAGTACGCCGCATCCAATGGTGATGATGGCGTCAAAGAGGAGCGCACTTCGAGAACTGATCGACTCGAAGGTGTCATGGAGTGGATCAAATATGGGGACATAGCGATCGCAGCCCTGGAAGAAGGCGTTGAAGAACAACTCGGCCTGATCAAAGGTGATGAGGCCTTTGGCGGCGAAGTTGGGCACCGAGGCAACCTCGACTTCAAATTGAGATCTTGTGCGCTTGCGCCGCGGATCGCCTGGATTCGACTGTATGTCAGAACCTGTCCGGGCCAGACTTGCCATTTGCTCGGGCGAGCCGAAACCAGAAGCTGTTGAAGCTGTCGCATCCACAGCGCTGAAAGTCGTATAGAGGTCGTTCTGCTGCTGGGACTCCAATCTCTGCTTTAGCAATTGCACCTCTTTTTCGAGGGCCTCGATCTTCCTTTTGAACACGATGGATCAGAACCCGAAAAAGATATTCACTTCAAACATTATTGGGGAAAGGGGTAGGAAGAGTCGTACTCACTGTTCATGAGGGTCCGGAGGTTTCTCGACGTACACGCAGACCTTCTTCAGATTCTGGCACCTGTAAATGGCACTTGTAAACAAGACGAGAGAACATGGAAGAAACAGGGGAGAGGCCTTCTTTTCTTCCTGGCTCCTACATACCGAGAGCAAGGCCTCTGTCCTCCGCATTTCACCTTACTAGCTCGACACGAGCCGCAGGCTTTCTGAGAGCACAGGAAATAAGTCAGCCATCCACGTTCCATCCCGTCCGCATCTAAGCTGGAGTGTCCAAGTCACCAGGGTCACGAACGTGCTGGACCAACTTACTGGGATTCTCTTCTTGCCGGTGGTGGCCACAGAGGCAATAGCTGCTTCCTCCATATTCCCTCGACGCAGAATTGTTGAAGCATTTCTTCTTCTACTACTAGGAGATAGAGAAGTTGCCAGCTTCAAGGGTTATGCGAGCGAAAGAAAGAAAAGGGTTGAGTTGAGGTCTAGCTAGAATTCCGCTCCTCGGTACGCTGACACCGAGAAAGTGGGGATTTTGCGCCCCTTGTTCAACCAGCCTCTCCGCGTAGTAGGGATGAATAGCCGATGTCTTCAGCCAGCCCTCTATGCCATAGAACCAAGCTACCTAGGTAACTCAGCAATGCTTAAATGCAGCTTGAGCAGCCCGGGGTTCCCGAAGTCAGACCAAACTGGTGCAATTGGGGTTTCATGAAATTGTTTACGACGAAGTGTATATTTCTCCTCTCGAGCGTCCTCGCCCCTGTGAAAGAAGACAAGGACGAGGTTGGCCATTCTGGGAAATATCAGAATGCTAGGTAGTTACTTTCTCCACGAGCAGAAGGGAAAAAAACCCAAAATGGGAATTGTTAACCAGTTACTACTAGTACACAAAAATGAAATCCTCGTTTTCCCAGTCGGTCTTGTCGTCAAATGCGTGGTGGCCCGTCATGTCGTCGTCCTGGTCTTCAGCAGCGCCATCCGTCGTCGTTGTTGCTGCCTGGACTCGGTTCATAGATTTGTCGACTAAGACCGCGCGCTTGCCCATGTTCTCTCGGGTCCTTCCGTGCTTTTTGTTGAGGATCATCAGGTAGAAGGCCTGGGCGGCGTAGAGACCGATGAGCACTACAAAGAGGGCGAGACTTTTTTATTGGGCAGGCTAAGTTAGCACACTGGAAGGAAGTCACAATTCCACGTAACTGGGTGGGTCGTTCACGTACTTGGACAATAATCCTCTGTGGTAGAGGGGTGCTTCTCCCGTGGTGTATAGATTTGGACCGAGCACGTTTCCGGCGCATTGCGCGATGAAGAGTACCCCGGTTGTGACCTGTCCTCGACGTCAGCTCCAACATATGAAAACAAGGACTGTGTTGGTCGAAATACCTTCTTCTTTGTCTCTCCAGCGGTGTTTGCAGCAGACCACGAGTAGATCAACGGCGCTGAATTTGTTAGTACTTTCAGGTTGGGGAGGATAAACATATTCTTACTGATGCCGGGATAGACAGATATCTGGAGTATTGTCAGTCGGTAGACATCGGCCAGCGAACGTGGGAGAAAGACTCACCAGATAATACGCTACCAGCAGCGGCGCCTTGGCCGACGCATCTCGCGGGAGATGTAGGAGCATGACACAGCCCGCAATCGGCGGGAGACTCAGGAATGCCAATACGGGAGATTTCAGCTTCAGAGCCGTAGCAGCCCACGCACCGCCCATTGTAGCGATAAGCTGGACGGCACCAAACGGCATGTTTAAAAGGATCGTTTCAAACTGGTCAAAGCCGAAATTCTTCACAATCAGCGGGCCAAAGGTCGAAATGCCACCACTCGGTACAGAAATGGCAAACATCATGGCCGCCCAGAGCCAAGTCTTGATGTCGAGGGCCGCTTCCTTGACGTGAGCCCATTTCCACTCGGTACCCTCAACACCCTGGTTGTTTGCCCTCAGTCTGGCGTAAATTAGCTGGAGGCTGCTTAGAATCACCGTGTCGGGGGTAATCTCACCTCTCGATGGCGACTAGCCTGTCTTCGCCTTTCAGGAAATGCGCAGTGATGGGAGAATCTGGGAGAAAAAACCAAACCACGACCGAGAAAACCACGGTGATCAAGCCAAAGAATAAGAAGATGATCTACCGTCTTGTCAGAAACCAGACAAGTCTCTTGTTCGCGGTCTGGCACACAGACGTACCTGATAGGGTCTAAGTGAACTAGAGTGTATGTGACCGATTCCATATGTCAACAAGGAGCCAACAATGTTGGTGATGCCGTTCATCGCATACCAGGCTCCGAGTCTGACGGGCTGCTCTCGTCGACGCCACCACATCTGGGTGAGGGCGATGAAAGCAGGAGCTGCCGCAACAGTAAGCAAGCGAGTTGACATGGACACAACCAACACATACCGACGCCAGCCTCGAACAGCCCAAGGAACAACCGGCACACCAGCAAGCCTGCGAAATTGTGCGCTGCCGGCATGACTGACAGGGAAACACCCCAGAGCAAGACGATCACGGCGAGGAATTTTCCCAGCGGCAACTTGACCAGCGCATAGGCAATCAATGGCTGCGCCACCAGCTGAGCAAGGTAGACGACGGCCCCGAGCCAGGAGTATTCATGTCCGACGAGATTGGTGTCTTCCACGAGCCCAAACACCGAGGAATAGGCCAAAGTAGCCTTGTCCAGGGCCTGCAAGAAATAGATCCCAAGCACCACGGGGAGTATGTATAGATCGATCTTTTTGAGGACTCTCGAGTTGTTTTCTGGTGTGAGGACGATGCGTTGCCCTGCTGCTTCGCTAAGGATTTTGTTGGCTCTGTCGTTCTTCAAGTCGCCGACGTCAACCTTGCTTTCGACGTGGTCGGTGGGTGCCTTGACGCCGATATCTTCCATATCGTCGGGTGTGCTTTGGCCTCGAGGAGCACCGAGTGGTCAAATGAAGGTAATATTTACTTTTTTCTGGGGTGCAGATCCAAAAGAGAGATGTTGGATGGGCTTTTGCTGGTCGCAGCGGAGATTTGGTCAGGATAAATACTCACCAGACGAAACGTTGCATCGTCAAGAGCATTCGGGCCCTTCAGCCGAACTCGACCAGGCGAATATTCGCCCCATGCCCTCAAATGTTCCGGGGAAGCGAACCAACTCCGTATGGGAGCCCCAAGTTTCTTTCCAGAATTCCTCCTAGCAATTTTCCTAGCGGCAGACTCTAACTCGTCGGAGCATGAGGGTGATCTGCGACGCCACCGACGCGGGGGACAGAGGCCAAAGCAGGGCAAAGACTGTCGGCGTCTGTGCGCCAACAGCGAGGCTAGCGGAAACACCAGGTCGCCTGATTGGCAGTTTTGTATATACGGTTTGCAAGGATCGCACTTGGCAGCCGAAGTCCGATCCCTGCATCGCTCTCGAAGCCCGCAATCGCCTGTGTCCAGCCTTCGCTTCCTCGCTCCGACGGCTCCAGGGTGGCATGCAACCTGCCAGACAACGCCAGGGAGCTGATTTCTTTGGAAATTGCAAACACTCTCAAGGTTAAAGTATCGCCCTCACACAGTGCTCTAGTGGTTGGCTTTGTGACTGTTGTCCACGTCTTCTCTCCCTGTCCTGTTTCTTCTCCTGGACTGTCAAAATGCCGCAACTGGAAACCATTCCAAAGTCGTATAAGCTGGTCGACTCGAAGTTGAGGAGACCAGCAGCGATCCAGCTCCAGTCGGACGACCTCGAAACCCAGTTTAGTTTTACATTCGAGGCCGTCAGACCCAACGTATTCCGGACGACTTTTAGTTCTGACTCGCACCCTCTACCACCATACCCATCAATACCGCAGCAGGAGAGAAATCTAGACAATGCCACTCTTAACTCTACCCGGCTGAGCGAGTCAAGTTGTTCCTTTGAGCTGGACGATGTCAGGGTGTCGATCGATTGGAGCCACGCGCCCGTTGTGTCCTTGGGCTGGCTGGAGTCGAAAGAGATTCTACATTCTGACCTCGCTTTTCGTTCCTATGTCGTCGACGGCCAGGGCGTCACGCACTACGTCCAGCATGATCGAAAAGCGCTCCATGTGGGACTTGGAGAGAAATCTGCCCCGATGGATCTCACGGCCCGGTACTTCCAAGTGTCTGCCACCGATTGCTTTGGTTATGAAGCTTATGCCACGGATCCCATGTACAAGCATATGCCGCTGCTCATCAAGGCCACTCCCAATGGCTGCGTTGCCATGGTCTCCACAAGCCATAGTCGGGGATCGTGGTCAGTTGGCTCAGAGATCGATGGTCTCTGGGGACACTTCAAGGTCTACAGGCAAGACTACGGCGGGCTGGAGGAGTACCTGCTAATAGGACGCACTTTGAAGGATGTGGTTCGAAGCTATGCAGAACTGGCCGGCTTTCCACTCCTCGCGCCTCGCTGGGCGTACGGCTACCTCAGCGGCGGGTACCGATATACGATGATGGACGATCCTCCGGCTTACCAGACGTTGCTCGACTTCGCCGAAAAGCTCAAGGAGCATGACATTCCCTGCTCCGCGCACCAAATGAGTTCGGGATACTCCATCGCCGAGACAGAACCCAAGGTGAGGAACGTATTCACATGGAACAAGCACCGCTTCCCGGAGCCAGAAAAATGGATCGCGCAATACCATGCCCTCGGCATTAGGCTGCTGACCAACATCAAGCCCTTTGTCCTTGCATCGCATCCGGAATACCAGTATCTGGCGAAGAACAGAGGCCTGTTCACGGACCACAGAAGTGGAAAGACCGCCGAAATGCGTCTGTGGAGCGCCGGGGGAGGCGAAAGCGGCACCGGCAGCCACATTGATTTTACTTCAGCAGCAGCATATGAATGGTGGGCTCGCGGAGTCGAGAAGTTGAAAGAACAAGGCATTGATGCCATGTGGAACGACAACAATGAGTACACGTTGCCGAATGACGATTGGAGCCTGGCTCTGGAAACATTTCCCAGAAGGCAAAACCAGGGATCAGACAAAGTCGGATTGTGGGGGCGTGCCCTTCACACTGAACTGATGGCCAAAGCTTCATATGAAGGTCTCCTCAGAGCAGAACCAGGCGTTCGACCATTTGTTTTGACGCGAAGCGCGAGCATTGGAACGCTGCGGTATGCGTGCAGTTCGTGGAGTGGTGACAATATGACAAGCTGGGAGAGCATGAAGGCAGCGAATGCGATATCTCTGACCGCCGGCGTCAGCCTGATGCACTGCTACGGTCATGACATTGGTGGATTCGAAGGGCCTCAACCTTCTCCTGAACTTTTGCTTCGTTGGGTCCAACTTGGTTGCCACCAGATCCGCTTCGCCATCAACTGCTTCAAGACATCTCCTCAAGACAACCAAGCTGGGGAAGTTATTGAGCCGTGGATGTATCCGGAGATCACGCCCATGATCAGAAAGGCAATCAAGAGAAGATACGAGATCATGCCTTACATATACTCACTTGGTCTAGAGAGCCACTTGACAGCAAGTCCGCCCCAGAGGTGGGTTGGCTGGGGCTACGAGTCTGACCCGGAGGTGTGGACTAAGCCACTGAAGTCCGGGGAAGAGCAATATTGGTTTGGAGACACGTTGCTGGTCGGTGGTGTGTATCAGCCTGGGGTTGATATGGCCAGAATGTACCTTCCTCGCCGCGCTGAAGAAAGATTCGACTATGGTTATGTCAACCTCAATGCGCCCTATGAATACCATGCATCTGGCCAGTGGGTGTCCGTTTCATCCCCATGGAGGGAGAGCATCCCGATCTTCGCCAAAATCGGTGGAGCAATTCCCGTAGGAAAAAATGTGCAGACACGGATACCTGGGGATACCAAGGCAGAATGCAAAGCCCTCCCCGAGGACGACTATCGGGGCGTTGAGATCTTCCCTCCGAAGGGCAGCTCGCACGGGAGAACCTTCACCACAACCTGGTACGAGGACGACGGCCTCTCGCTCCATCCGAATATCTCATCCTTCACAGTGTCGTACAGCTCAACCGAAGAAAAGGTGGCAGTCGCCCTTGCTACTGGCGCAGACAACCTCTTCGTCCCTCCGTGGAAGGAGGTGGTATTCATCTTGCCACGCGGAGACGAGAGATATATCGAGTCGGCGAATGGAGCCACAATGGAGCGGGTTGAGTCGCAAGATTGCAAGAGGGCCCGCTACAAAATGCAAGTTCGCGGTCCAAGAAATCAAAATGGGGAAGCCGTGTGCAATGGAGATGATCAGTAGACGGTGTCATGATAAATAGACCTTTAGAACCCATAGAGGAAAGACAGATCCGAAGGCTACTCTTGGTACCCTTCGATCGCTGTAGCTTCTTCGAGTTCCCCTCCAAAACCCTGGCGCCAAAATGTATTTCGCGGAGCAGGCCCAAAGCGGGTCCTACGTGCATAGAGAGCAGTTTGGAGAGATAGATATGCGCATAGGATTCGGACGTTGGTCTGGATTGAGGCAAGGCGGGTGGGTTGGTGGAGGGAGCGAACAAGAAGAGGATGACAATATATCGGTGATGGCGGTCTTGGCAATCACGCTAGACCGCAATGGGGGAATAATCAGGAAATCAGATAAGATCAAATTTTTCAGGCGCTTGACCTAATTGGGACTTAGACCGACGTCGCGTCGAGCATTGGCTTCTCAATCACTTCCTTCACCCACCCGAGTCACTTTGGTCCCCCGCCCTCTTGGTGCTGAGATGTTCCCCTCGGGCCGTCTCCCTGTCCTTCTGTATGAGCTGTGTCCTCTGCCATCGCCAATACCTCGTTCTCGTCGATTCACCGCTGTGAGACGAGGTGGTATAGCGCCGGGGTTCTGATGGTTCGGCCGCGGTACATACTTAAGGTACGGAGGGACCAGGAGTTCACCCTCGAGTTCTCAGCAGCCTGGCTTGGCTCTGAGCGGCTAGCATCTCAGAACTCGCGTAAAAGCCAGAAGGGACCCTCTCCTGTGGCGCCGATGTGGCAGCCATTGCGACCCTGACGTCTCCAGTCAGCCCATGAGACCTCACGAGATGCATGCCATGAGACTCCGGCAAAGGCACAGCCAAAGGTAAATGTTTAGGCCAAGTATTTAAACCCCCTTGCAACGCTCTTGCTGCCAACCCGCGCAACTCTCTTTCAATCCTCTGCCCCCACCATGAAGTTCAATCCAGCTTGGATCAAGCCGAGTTTCGTGCCGGTAGCTGTCAGTCAGCACGGCAGCGACTCAGAAGCCGCTGCGGCGCTCTCTGACTCGAAAGAAGTTCGAGTGGCCTTGGGAAGACCTGACACCGCCGATGCCGGCTCTGTTGGCGTCGATGAGAACGCCCAAGCCGGCGTCCAGAAGATTGAGGCTACCACGTCCGCCTGGGGCAGAAATCAACTCGTTCTGGCCTACATGCTGTACGTTCGCTGCACAACGCTGTCGTGGAGCCGCTGAACTTACCACGGACACAGCATCTTTCTCATTTACTTTGTCGATTCGCTCCAGCAGCAGATAACCTCGGTGTTGACTCCGTATGTCACGAGCGACTTTCAATTGCACTCGCTGACCGCCACGACGGGCATCCTTTCTCAAATCATTGGTGGCTTGAGCAAGCTCCCACTTGCAAAGATCTTGGACATCTGGGGCCGCCCGCAAGGCTTCATCCTCATGGTGGCACTGCTCACTATCGGCCTAGTTATGATGGCAGCGTGCCAGAATGTCGAGACCTATGCAGCTGCCCAAGTATTCTACTGGGTCGGCTACAATGGTGTCGGGTATGCGCTCAGCATCTTCATTGCCGACACCTCTCATCTCAAGAATCGAGGGTTGATGTTCGCCTTCGCTTCGTCTCCTTATATTGCAACCACCTGGGCAGGGGGCCCGGCCGCACAACGTTTTCTTGAGGGTGCCGGCTTCCGATGGGGATTTGGGACGTTTGCTATTGTCACTCCCG